TGGCAACGCAGCGCCGCCATCTTCCCTCCTGCCGCCTTCCCTCCCGCCATCTTCCCGCCCGCCACAGGCCCTGGGCTCGCTGAGGTGGCGACTCGGCCCACCTCGGGCATTTCACGGCCAGCCGCGGTTAAAATCACGGTGTGGCGACAACCCCACCTGCTGATTTCCACCCCGCCATCCCGGGGCCTGGTTCCCAGAGGGGTGATGGCCCCGCTCACTGCAGGCGAAAGGCGAGGAGGCGGCTCAGCTCCGGCTCCGGGAGCTCCCGTGACGACGATGAGTCTGCACAGCGAGGGGCTAGGTCAGGGCAAGCCATGCTGGGCGGCTCTTCGTGGTGGAGATCTGCAAGACTGACCGGGCCTGACGCCGGCACTTTCGGCCAGCCGGGAGGTACCCGTCTGCCCCCCGTCCTTGTCACGTCCCGGCTGTGGCCTGCTCCAAGTCTTCCTTCCCCTCCATGCCTCGAGGCTCCCGGTCACACGGAGCATTTGGTATGCGTCACACAGCGTCGGGAACACCGGCCACCCCTCTAATGGTCTCAGCTCACTAGCCGTGCTCACGGCGAGGCCGTAAAAAGGCACCGTCAAGACAAGTCAAAATAACTTTGTTTTCACAAGAGAGTATTTCCAGTGATATTTTATTCATGGCTTCCTGCTCACGCAGTTTCACCGCTTAAGATCCCCTGTGCTAACATCAATGCGATGGAAGGGGGGGGAAAGCGCAACCTATATTGACTTCCTTTGTGACACACACAATTAAGCCTTTTCCAGGGGATACCTCTCAAATATGAAGTGGGTGTGCTGCCCTGTTCACAGCTTTTTGCTGCTGTTTTGGTACCTTCAAACAATTTTCCGGTAGGAGCCCTGCAGCCCTTAGCAAGCAGCTAGAAGATCATAACGTGTGTAAGAGGACCAAGCTGCAGTTTTGTGCAACAAGGCACTAGACTGCTGAAGAGCCAGAATTATGGTGAGAGAACAGAATTCCTGCACTGCTAGACGCTGCAGCATCCCCACCCACCAGCTGCCACCCAGCCTGAGGAAGTCGTGTCCCAGACTCGCTGCAGCTACACCCCTTCCTGAGAAGCAGAGGAGCCTCAAGCAAGCTGCTTCACTTCTAGAAGTCCCATCACCCAAGCTGTGTTTCCTCATGTGTTCCTCAGGCTGAAACTGAGGACTCCACTTTCTTTTTCCAGTTCTCTTCTCGCCACTCCATGTGCGAATGTGTCCTCTGCTTGCCCTTGGTCTCTGATGTCTCAGATCTCACACATTTTCCTGACAGTGAGATGGCAATGATAATGACCTAAGATGTCCTTCTGTCTTGAAGAGCTGGTGCAGCCCTTATCAAGTTACAGCCCTACTCATGATCTTGATCCTATTTGCGCTGGAATATGGCAGAGGGATGGTCCCATCTGCTTCTAAGAAAGGGAAGAAATGACTATTCCCTGTCCCTTGTCAAGCAGCAGAGCTCTTTCATATAGCCTTTTCATATAGCCGTTGTTAGATGTCAGGGCTACCGAACTGGGAGAGCCCAGAAGGATTAGGACTCGTTTCCTTTGGCTCATGCCTTTTCCTTATGTACCTCGCCTCTAGGACAGGGCTTCAGTCTGAATTGGTGGCTCTATCGTATGTAAATGCACAGGAGCCCTAATCGCCTAGCTAGGGTTTGCATGAAAGTTAGGTTGACATGGGTTATCAAATCAGAAAGAACCACCCTCTAACTTCGTACCCTTGGAGAGCTGGGAACTAGTCCAAAACCAGAATGCACTTACTGAGCAGGGGCCAGCCAGCCTCACCAGAAAAGCTCCCAGGGTTGTGATATCACAGGCTAAGCTTGCTCTCGGATCTAGTTCTTGACCCAAACTTCAGAATTGGGTGCAAAAAGCTTAAAGCCCAAGCCCAGATCTATCCTCTTTGTACCAAAGTTTCCACTCCCTACTGACTCAGAAGGATAGACTGGAAAAAGAGTAGCACATCTAAACTCTTCCCAACTTGATCCCATCTTCTGGAAAAAGGGGATAGAACTGAACACCAGGAGCTGATGCACCAACCATTTCACTATTTATCTTGCACCCATTAAAGAGAGAGATAGGTTTTCTTTAAGTAGATGATTCCTCATTCATATGACTGAGGCATGGAGCAATCCCTGGAATCCTGAATGCTGTAAGAGAAGACCCACCGGGTTCAACAACTTCATGCTATGTTCTGGGATTCTCGTCACAAAGAAGTGATTCTTCTGAGCTCTGTGGCTAAGCCAGTCCTCAGATGGTTTTGCTGCTCTTTAAGGAAGGCAATAGACTGTATAGTTATCACCTGAAATGGGATAAAATCCCTCCCACCAAACTATACAACCTACTACCTCACCTCCACAGAGCAGTACAGAGGTCTCACATGATTCCCAGCCATATCACTGGTG